AGAGTCCACCGACATTCATCCAGACTTTGTAAGCTAATCTTCGGCATATTACCGACATTTTTTTCTCTTACATTTTGTAAAAGTTGAAACTGCAACGGGCGTTCTAGTTAGCATTCGGTAATACATCATATCAAGCTTGACACAATGAGGTCTAAGCTCATCTGGCAATTTATAGTTTAGCATGTTTGAGCCTGCCTTTAATGTGCAGCACCCTTGAGTTTGGATAAAAGAAGCCAATAAAGGGGGTTTGAGAAAAAAATACCAAATAATTTACAGTTTTAGTTTGGCTCATTACTTGAAAATATACCTAATATTCTGGAAAGTATAAAATATTCGATAGGATCAACGTAATTATTGGAGTATCCGGTCAAATATTCTGTAGTGTGATCGAGGAGTCAATGTAGTGTAGAGATTAAATCTATTTAGAAGGCATACTGTGGTTTATGATTCTTACTATTAAATTTTGGCTTTAAGTTTAGTTAGCTAAGAGTCAGGCATGAAATTTACTTCTTCTACTATAGATACGCGGTTCCTTCTTTCGGATATTACTGTTCTGGTTTGTCAAAGACTGTGGACATCCGCGTTACAAGGCATGAATACTAACATTGCATTGTTGGCAATATCGCGAAGACCTATACTTAAATATTCGGCTTGGATCGCGCAAGGACTCACCAGACCCTTCTAATATCGGGTGCAGCATAATATGAAATGAATAGAGATATCAACATCTCGAGGCGGCTAAATTCTTCAACTACACTAAAATTCGGTTTAAGTTTGGACTAAGAAATATATAGATGCAAGACCACCAAATCTTTGCGTAAAAAGCTTCCCACAGTGATCGAAACTCTCCATCCCACAACAGAGCGGGATCGACTATCCCCCGAGCCGCATCAAAGAGCTCAATATGATTTAATCGAAATGGTGTTACGATACTTGCAAGCTTAAACATTAAAAAAATGAACCCTATCCGTGAGTCAGCAAGACTGTATAGGTGGATATTGCAACTGAAATCAGCAATTTTTGGAATAGACTTCAACGTATATCTGTAATGCCGGAGGCTTGAATACCTCTGATACATAGACATTTCAAAATTTTAAATTCTGTGCCACAAATCTTGCAATCAATGTGGGAAAAGCGACAGTCTTGGTATCAATACCCCACAGCCAAAAGACTAAACTCGACGTCATGGGGCCTTACATATGATAGAATTGTGATCCTTTTGCTAAAAGGGACATATAAATTTGACGTCATTACTTAGTTAATTGGACACTTTAGGAAATGAATGTCGTGCAAGACACGTCCCGTAAGCTCAATATTGACCCATTACCCTTTTACACTTTTCTTGGTACTGCCATTATCCACTTTAGTGCGTAAGATGCGCCAGTCTTTTTGAATCGCATGCTTCAATAAACCTATAAGACCTTGCCCCGATTTAGCAGTATTTAAGCAGATTCTATACCGCAAACACTATTTCAATGATCAAAAAATAAGCTGAACGAGTGAAGGCCTTATCGTCCTCAAACGTGGTAAAGACCGCACTAGTAAATCAGAAAGTACGTCGATCTAAACATCAAACGCGCAAATAGACATCATTGCGCTTGTGAGTAGTGTTTCATGACTCAGGTGGCATTAATTTAAAAAGCTACATTATATTTATTTTAAGAGTTGACCGGTGACATATCCCTTTAATTGCGGTAGCGGCACAATTACTGCAATCCAATGATGATTGGATTAAATAGACTGCGGGCACGAAACGTTAAGGCATTGTCGAGGTGCATTGACCCTGATTAGTACCATTATCCTGAGGAGACTAGCTGTGCTGTAAGTCCTCATTAAATAAAGAACGAATGTCTTCGTCCTGAGTGCGAACGTTTAAATACAAATCTATCGTAGTTGCATGACTAAGGACGCAAAAGCGACCATAATGCAATCTCTTCGTGATATGGACCCACGTAATCTAAGCTGAAAATAACAAAAACGATTTTAGTGTTGTCTGTAACTGAGACCATACTTAAAGGAAGCAAGCACGTATTCGTACAAGGCCGAGCTAAATGGGTACCCTATCAAATGCAAGTCGTCATGTGGATTTATAAGGTCAACCGGAAAAATTCCAGGTCCAGCTCGGTTTATGGAGTGTCTCAGAAAGTAAATTCGTTCCGTTTTGCTAAATTACAGCCGGATATCATGCGTAGACCACTAAAAACGACGTTGATTTTAATCTGGATATTGTGTCGACATGATAATAGGCACCATTTTACGACCCATTTAGTCGTTGATGCGGGTCAAGAGATGGTTCAAAACTTTTTTGACGACTAGTGTAAACATTTTTTCTGCTTGAATGATGAGTCGATTCATAGGAAAATTAGGTAGTTTAACATCAGCTTTATGTGTTTTACTATTTGCACCAAACTGTTAATAATATGCGTGAAAATGGGGTAGACGATTGCGTGAATATAATAATGCACATCTTAACTAAGTTAGAGCATGGGCACACTATATTGTTTTATGACGCCTTTTCTTTCTTCTGTAATGTCGTAACGCATAGCTAGGTCCTTCCACAAAGCATGCTCAGTTTGATAATTAATAGTGTCGATCGCGGTAAAAGTTTAAGGTAATGTGGTGGAGTGAGTTGTCAAAAACGGTCTGACAAGACCCCAAACCACTCATTGTGCCGGAATGCCGACTGTAGGAGGGGCACCCCGATGCCGCTTGTGGACTTTGACTCACCTTGTGTACCCGTTGACTTGGCGAATTTCACTCTTCGGAGGACAGGTGATGATGTAGACGTAAATCCTGATGGAGGTCGACTTGGGGGGGGGCGAGCGGATGCTCGATCCAACTTCTTAAATGATGGCATCCAAGGAGTCTCCATTTGAGGACCATGGCGCAGTACATTGCGATCCCTGGCCTCTTGTGTGGTGTCAGCATGAGCACTGACACCCGTGGCAGCTCGATCCCTCAAGTTGCTTCTGTCGTGGTGATGCATAGGTGCATCACCATTATCACTACGCATCCTAGTGTCAGATGGACTTGCGTGAGCGCGGACTCATTAGACGAATCGATCGGTCCCAAGATATCGGACATGATGCCGCCATGTTTCCCAGAGCCAGTCAACCTGGCTTTTGCAGTGTCCGCCCCGGATGATCCATAGGCGGGAGGCGCCGCATTCTAGTCGGATGCATCAACCGACTCGCCAGAATGGTGAGCACTATTTCAGTCTTATCTGCATTGCAATTCACAGCACCCGCTGCAGAAGCAGCGGATGTGTATGTCGCACGTGGTAACCTACCACGTGGACTATTCACAACAGGAACTGTATGTTGCTAAATTGCAACATCAGGCAAAAGATCACGTGCTGCTGAAGCAATAGAAGCGCTCTCTTCGGCTACACGCATGAGTGCTAATGCCCTTCAGGCTGCTGTGGCAGCACACCGCATGGACTTCGACACCATGCGATGAATTTGCAAACGAGTTAATTTGTTCAGCAAGTGCTCCCCTTCCCAGGGTGATCTAAAGGTGATCACCCTGTCCCAATCATTTAATTTTAATCAGCGGGTGATTGATGGTTAGGGGGGGGGTGATGAAACGGGGTATCCCGTTACATGATATTGACACCAAACGGTCTTAAAAGGGAGATTGTCAAGCATGACAATTCTCTGCCAATATTACTCGAGATGGATAATAATGAAGGGTAAATTATCCCCTTGGTAAAATATATATGCGCTGCTCAAAGATTGGTTGATACAAGACATATCGACCATAGATTACCACCAATCGCTGCTAGACGCACGTAATGAGTGGTGAGCAGGTTGTCGTCAGACGACAATTTCAATTAATATAGTTAGATAAAGACTGAAGTTAAATTGATACCATACCTAAATTAAATACGGTTCTCTTTTTACCTTTACTTATCCACTTCGTTCAAGTAGATAAGCTTCCTCTGCACGTACTAGTGTACGTGAAGTTTCGTGGCACCCAGACAAAGGGTGCCCCGTTACAACATTGGTAGCTTAACTACATTAAATGCAGTTTTCTGTTTACCCTTTACTCAAAGTAGCGGTTTGAGTAGATTAGCTTCCCCTGCACGTACAAATGTACGTGATGTTTTGCGGAAACCCAAACAAAGGGTGCCCCGTTACATAAAAGCTGCCACTATTATTGACAATCTGTGGTCGACCTACGTTGCATAAAACACCAGAAAGGTAGAAATAAAGTAATTTGTTTAGTAACTGCTACAGCTTCTGCAATCTAGTGGGCGAGACTATTCCGTACTTTGAGATTTACTATTTCGTACTGCAAACCCTGTCAAACGCTTTTACGAACAGCTGATTAGCTTAATAGTTAAGTTTTAGCTGTATTATGCGATATATAGAAGGTCAGAGGTGCGGAGATTAAAGAGCTTCCGTTGACCAAAATTAGTGCTGAGCCTTACGGACGGGTTGAACACCTTCTACTGAGAGTGATCTATCTCTACAGCATCGAGTTTTGCTGACTCGTCTAGCTGAACCTGGTGTGACGGCACCTGCACCCGATAGTCTACCGAAGATAGTGTTTTAGCACAAGCGAGCTGTTTTTTCTGGATGCAACTCTGATTGATCATGCAGCAATTCCAGTCAATATACCGGCGAACACCATCGTACAACTTGACTCGTGTTGCTTCGCGCTTATCCTGACCATCATCCTCAGCTTCGTGATTGTCAACACCGACTACACAACATACCAAGGGCTAAACTCAACCGTAAGTATCATTGCAGGACAACACTGTTTCAAGGATACGTGACTTACGTTGCTTGTCTGCCCTTCACCCTGCGGGAACGAGCCGTCTACTACCGCGAGTGCGACGCGATGACGATCAACACTCTTCAGTACTTCCTCAGCATCTTGTTCGTCGATATATTTTACATCTTTGAAAGCAGTCTTCTCTTCACCATTTCTTCTTCCCTCTCCTCGGCATCTGGTCCTTCAGTATGGCTGTGCTCTACTGGCTCAACATCTCCCTATCAATGCTCATGCAGACGTTCCCGGGCCAGCTGCTCGTCTGCTTGCAGTTTAGTAACGAAGTCGTTGCCGTTGTGGGTGCCCTCATTAACGTCATGTTCCTGCTCTTTGCCAGGTTCAATCCGCCTGTTGCTGCCATCCCGGGCCGTTTTCGATGGCTCTATGACGTCACTCCACAGCGCTATTCCCTCTCGATCCTCGTCTTGTGCGGCAACGGTCCTGAAGATCCGGTGCATGATGAGGTTACGAGGGGTACACCAACGTGCGGTCAGAACTCGCGTGTTGACCCCTGCGGAATGCACCGCCGTCAGTGGGTTACACGACGGTCAAGCACTACCTGGACGACACCTTCAACATCATCACAGCGACATGTAAAAAAATTGGATACGCTTGGTCTTCCTCGCGGGTGGTCTATATTAAGATTAAGCTTTTTCCCTCCATCATAAATCTTCTCACAGTCTTTGTCATGATTCCATCGTCATGGGTGTCTATAGTTTGTGGCTGACTATTTGGCTGGAGTCGCCAGCAGATACAAGCGTCTGCTGGTCGGTAGATCCAGTGTAAACATGAATTTAGCCTTGTATAGTCTGCTCTAGGTCAGCGCGCGTACTGCCTGTACCGTTTGTCGGTATTTCGAGCCAAAGGAAGATAACAAATGGATGTGGTATGGTCAGCTACACTATACGAGTCATATAAAGCTCGTGCAAAGGGTGTAAAACAGGGAACTACATCCAGTCAATGGAAGCTCTTTAATCTCCGCACCTCTGACCTTCTATCTATAGCATAATACAGATAAAAATGTAGCTATTACGCTAATTAGCTGTTCGTTAAAGCGATTGACGGCGTCTGCAGTACGGAATTGTAAAATTTAAAGTACGGAATCGCCTCGCCCCTATCTAGTCTACAAGTTTCTGCTGTCAAGCCCCTTTTCAACACCTGAGTCACAAACATCATCCCAAAATGACGACAGAGCCTTTAGGCATCACCTTGTCTCGATCCAGCGTCTCAACATTGCATACTTCCAGAAGCTTTATAGATGAGCCGAGCGTGCACAGCCACCGGCTTACGTCATGTGTATCTATCTTTCTTACATTGTAGGTGCACTTGTGGTGTCTAGAGCGTGTTGCACCATGAGAGCAAAATGTTCCAAACATGTCGGCGGCCACTTACGCGACATAAACTTCTTAAAGCATGAAGTAGCAGGTCCCATGCTACGCTTCTGTCTGTTTAGTTGCAGAAAACGGACGTCATCACCAGCGAATTTATTGGCATTCTACACGCCCCTTCTGTTGCAACCGGCTCTGCCATAAACAACAAGTAGTGGTAGCTAGCAGCTCAACAAAGACTCGAATGCCAGCGCGCTCGACGCGATGGCCTGTCTTCATGTAGGAAATGAATGAAACAGTTGCTTGGCATACGAGTTCTTCTCAGCGTCCAAGCATTCGTGCAGTCACGACTTGGATAAGTAGTTGTTCAACATTTGCGTACCCCACGAGAAGGTGCAACAAGTTTTGGTGCAGTTTAGGCTCTAGATGAGGTATATCGTGCACTATGTCAAGCCGATGGCAGTACGGAAAGACGAGGTAGTTCTGCTCGTAGGCTTCAGCATCGAACCGTGTGACTAGTGCTGAGACAGATCTGGTTATTGTTGCGTGATGGATATGATAGGCACGCATGCAAACGGAGAGCGGCTTGACGTAGACGCTGTAAAGTGCACTTTCGTCTACTGATTACTGTCGATTCTATTGCAGACTGTCAGGCATGATAGTGACAGTAGTTATCCAACTGCTTCCTTAGTCAAATCAGCCTTGGCTTTGATCTTCGTAAGCTCATCGATGCGTTTGCCGGAACGATCACCGTGGCCGACATTAGCTCGGACTGAAGAATTCTAGATGTGCTGTTTTTCTTTGATCTCGTGGACTCAAGGATGACATACAGTCGGGATTTTGAGGAGACCGGAATGCTGCTGCTCATGCGACATGATTAAATTTGCCATAACGCCATCAAACTCGTTGATGAGGAATCTGGAGACTTTAAGACGCTGCCGTCCAGCGAAGAAACCATAATTGAGGCGGCATTATGGCAACACTGAGTAGCTCCGCGCTTCATGGGTGCGACAAGTACCGGCACGTGGTCAATTGACCGCCCATCTTGTCAACGAACGACGTCTAAAATGGGTGAGCGAGACACTAAATGTCTTGAAGTATGTGCTAGCGGTGTCAAGGCCGCATTAAGCAGTCAGTCTGTCGATGGAACGACGTGGGGAAGTTGGAGTGAATGTGTAGCGGAACGCCGAGATGGTGTGCACCTGCGTGGGCGGCTTGTTCATGACCTGGCTGTATGTGCGTGTGGAAACTTCCTTCACGATGTCAAACACCTAACAAGATACCGAGCGATCTGTGACGGAGGCGACAGGCATTGCCGACATTGAGTAGTAGACCGCTTGTTGCGATTGCGCAGTAGCTCCGAGAACATAACCGATGGAGACCCCACCTCGACCTCTGACTTGGTTTATCGCTTCGACTCTGCCTTGACCGGTACAATGTCGAATCATTTCTTGTCAACGTGCTGGAATAACGAAGACAACAATCGTCCGCCACGCCATGGTTTCGTCCGACAACTTCATTCGTAGCTTGAGCAATTTGAGGTGCTTTGGACGCAAAGACGACGGCACTTCACACGCCTAAACCAGTCTGCTACATTATCAAAGAGGCCGTCCCGTGAAGACTGCTAAAACGTGGACCGCTTCAAATCTCTGCTAAATCTAACTACGCTTCTTATGCGTTCGGTGCTTCTGGCAAAATGCTTGCAGCTGTCCCCCTTCTTTCATAAACATATCGCACGCTCCTCTTGATTCACGGCCACACTGTGGGTGGAAATACGTCGAGCATGAACCTCGCATGCATTTGATACAACCACTCTTCTTTCCGCACAAGGCGCAAGTCGTGTTTTTCATCTCCTCAACAGCTGCGGCAACATGTTTGACTCCGTTCATGCGCTCCACGTCGGAAAACTGAACACCGGGCGACCACAGGGCGCACACCACGTGGACCCATTTGCCTTCGCACGTCTTTTTGAACGCACTTTTTGAGCGCTTTAAAGGACACAACTCGCACGGCTAGAACAGAACAAATGTCAATTTCTCAATGTGAAGCCGTCGTTGTAGGAGCTGCAAAGGTTTCCGTACCGCATCAGAAGAAGAATCCGTCCGTTCAGCACAATAATCGCAGAACCATGGCTCATCCCCTTCAGGCACTAATTTAATCCCGTAACAGTACTGCAAGAGAAAGTGTAAGCTAAAAAAACATGCTCTGAAAAACGTCAGCTGATCCAGAACCTTACCTGGTGAACAGCGACAGAACACCTCTCACACTGTACGATTGGATCGTCAAGGTAGCCTTGGTCGCTAAAGCATACTCGACACCACATATCTTCGTCCTCTTGTGGATCAACATCTTCTCTAACAGCCTTTCGAGATCTGCCACCCGTTTTTGCTTTAGTTTCATGCGGGTGACTCCTGAAATCCTCCTTTTCCGTCGCATCTTCCTCTTCATCATAGGCGTCTTCTTCTTCTTCTTCCTCCTCCTCTTCTTCCTCTTCTTTCTCCTCCTCCTCTTCTTCTTCTTCCTCCTCTTCCTCCTCCTCCTCCTCCTCTTCCTCTTCCTCTTCCTCTTCCTCATGCTCCTGTACTACTTGTTCCCCCTCGGAACCGCTTGCGCACTCTACGTTTTTATTATCCCCCACCGCGCCGGGTCGGAATTGGTCAGCATGGTTAATATTGACGCATGCGGACGGTACGTCTGTCTCTCTTGACAATTGACCAAGCTTCTTCTGTACATTTCGAATCCTGCTTGCCACTTTCACGAGACTGTAGCTTCCGCTGCTCTTGAACACCCTCAGCTTGATCCGGAGACCACTCAATACACAGCCCCTAGGTGATGAAACTCGCGTAATCTTATGGTCAGATGCCTGACGGGCTGCTTTCTTGCGCTTCGGAGGACCGATTTCACCATTACCAAACTCGCCGTCACGCTTGTGCTTTCGGTCTTTCTTCCTTTCGGCTTTCGGACTCTGCTTGCGGCGTGCGCCACCTTTCTTGAATTTCGGCGGCTGCTCCTTTGGCCCATCGAGAAATTCGATATACATCAACTCGCCCCCGATGTCTTGGCTACGGCGACGTTTAGGTCGCTCGATCACCTGAAGCCATTCGGCGGCAATCTCTCGAACGTTTACAACTCCCTTTATAACGCAGCCCGTGACTTTCAGCTCAATCAATGTCGAGAGAACTTGGTCAGCGTCTGCTAAGGACTTGCCTCGTTGTCGCTCCTTAACGACGGCGCGGGCTAATTCACGCAGCTGCAAGAGAAATGTTCGAACTTCATCTTGTGATGCCGTTTTAAGCCAGCCTTCTTGGACCTTTTTCATAAGCACTTGCACAGGCTTAGGGCCAAGAACCTTCTCCCAGAACTTCTCATCGTTAAAATCGATGGTAGAGTCGGCTGATTCTGACGTGAATGATGCCTTTGAGAATGACAGAGCGGTAGTCTGAGAAACGGGTACGTGCCTAGAAGTACCGTTGTCGCCTCCACCAATCCCTTCATCACCGTTAGCATTCCCCCCATTTTTCGTAGGGTCATACCGAATTGTTCGACTGTTCGACAGCAGGTGGTCGATATCCAGTTCGTTAATAGCGCGGTTCTCGGGATCTAGTTCGTCTTCTTCGCCCATGATAGCATAAGCTCCGTACCTGATCATCATCTCAACCTTGTCGCGGTCTAACGACATCAATGACATCATATTCCCACTACTGTCATCTTCACCATCAAACTCGTTGCGAACGCCACCAGTCTCAAACACGGCGTGATGCATGCCAAGCTTCTTTGACGCAATCTCAAACATCTGAGCCTCGTATGTCTTTTTTGTCACCAAACGATAAATATTCACTGACTGTGTTTGGCCGATGCGGTGGCAGCGCGCCACTGCTTGAAGATCATTTTGAGGATTCCAATCGCTGTCAAACAATATCACAACCGATGCCGCAATAAGGTTAATACCCACTCCGCCTGCACGGGTACTTAGTAGGAATGCGAACGTGTCAGAATTCGGGCTATTGAAACGGTCAATTGCTGCTTGACGTAAGTTGCCGCGGACAGACCCATCAAGACGTTCCATGCTATATCCTCGTAACTGGCACATATCTTCGATAATATCCAACATGATCTTGAACTGCGAAAAAATAAGCACCTTTTTCTTTTCCTGACGAAACTTGGTCAGTAGCTTGTCTAGCAATACAGTCTTACCACTAGCTTGAATCAGAACTTTCATTCGGAGTTGGTCGTCGAAGCCCATACATTCCTTGTCTTCGACACCGCGAATTAAAAAAGGATGATTGCAGCACTTTCGCAATTCCATTTCAACGTTGACTAAATTGGCAACGGTACCGGTCGCTCCCATGTTCAAAAACTGGCGGTTGCGCTCAAAGATAGCACGGTAATATTTCTTCTGCAACGTTGTCAGCTCCACGTCGACAATTGTCTCTTCTTTAGGTGGAATACTCTTCTCCACGTCCTCTTTCACCCGACGTAGCATATATGGTCTCAACTGCTCGTGCAACTGCGCAACCTGTTCAGCTGTATTTAAATCACCAAACTCATCGTAAAAGTCTTGCTGACTTGGAAACTTTTCCGGCTCAATGAAATTCAGCAAACACCAGAGTTCGAACACGCCATTCTGAAGCGGTGTTCCTGTCATCAACAGGCACGAATCCCACGTGAAGCCATGAAGCACCTGGAGTAGCTTTGCTTCACGGTTTTTTAGCTTATGGGCTTCGTCGATCACAATGTACCGCCAATGGATGGGCTCAAGGAATTCTGCATCCATGATTAGGGTCTGGTATGATGTTACCAGAACATTAAACTTGTAGACACCTCGCTTGCGATGCGCTTCACTCGCGAAGTAAAACTCTTGTTCGCGAATGAAGGCGCGGATATCAGAGCCTCCTTCCGAGTCGTGATACACGACGCAATTCATGGAAGTCCATGTTTCAATCTCCCGCTTCCAGTTTCCCAGTGTTGCGAGCGGAGCAACAACCAAAAACGGACCCCGAATGAACTCCTGCTGACGCAAATGTTCCAGGATGGAAGTAGCTTGGACGGTCTTACCTAAACCCATTTCGTCAGCGAGAATGCAATTGCGGCGGTTGTACCAGCAAAATGTCAGCCAATTGAGACCTTCGAGTTGGTAAGACCTCAACGTGTTCTGGTTGTTGTAAGATGGAGATTCTTGGTACTTCGCCCAAGTAGCCGGCTCCGGTCGAATGTCAGCATATGTTGCAGGGTGGGCGCCATTGATAACAGGAGGGTGATTAAACCGATGATAAGCGGCGATCTTACGATCGTCAATAATTTCATCTTCCCACTCCCAGGTGCAGTCGACGTAGCTCATGTCGCGCCACTTCACAAGGTACTTGACACCCCGTTTCGTCACCACCTTGTTGCGGTCTCCAGACTCGCTTGCATTCCTTTCCAAGCGATGAACAACGTACGGGTTTGCTTCCTTAGACTCCTCAACTTCCTTCGCATTTAAAACACGGTCCACTTCAATGAACGAAACGCTAAAGTAGTGGCTGAGATCCTTCTCGTCGCCAACGACAACCACCTCTCGTGCTTCCTCCACTAAGCGACTATTCTTCTGAAGAAATCGTTTCATGCGCTGAATGGCGTGCTGGCCAAACTCTTCAATTTCTCTTACGGAAAGCCAGCTCACATGAAGGTACGAAGTGTCCTTCCACTTGATCAGAAATTCCATGGACACTTCGGAATCGTTTCGGTTTTGTCGACGGAACCGCACACTAACAATTGTATCAATTTGCAGACCCCTCAAAGCTTTTTTTTGCTCGTGTTTTGCAGTCTTCTCCTCATCACTTAGCTCGAAGTTTAGCTTTTCCTCCACATACTTCTTCTTTGCCTTGCCTGCGTTACGTCCTGATCGACGAGCAGGTTGTTCGTCCTTCATAGTCTTTGCAGTTGATACACCATTTTCAGATTCGCTTTCATCTTCTTCTTCATCGGAAAACTTCTTTTTTCCGCGGCCTCGTTTAACCTTCTTCTTTTTAGCTGGCTTACCAAGAGCAGTTGGAGCAAAACTCTTCTTTTTACTCCTGCTCGCATTGGGCCGAATATAATTCAACGCCATAGTCTTTAACGCGCGACTCAAAATTTCGTTCGGTATGTTGCCCCCAGTAGACGTAAACTTAAACACCATAATCTGTGCACGCAATTGCTCCTTCTGTTCCACTGTGAAGGCAGCGCGAAGGAGCGGCCGCCTACGCTGAATGGGCTGCATATCGCGAACATTTGACACCGCAACAGGTATATTGGAATTCGCACCATTGCCTGCAGGATTCATAAACTGAACAGCTCCATTGCCGTACGTCTGGTGAATGTAATGATTGTACGCCAATGCTGCTTCTTTCTCCGTAGAAAAAACGCCGAGTCGTCGAATACCACCACCATCTACGTGCAACTCCGCAGCCCACTGAGTAGGCGAAATGTATCTTACCCCCATATGCCACATCCCAGTCGTGAATAGTTGTGAATTGTCCAACCCAACAATCGACGTCTGTTGCCCTTTGCGATAATACGGGTTATCGTAATGGCTACTCACTAAACCAACGCCACCAGGCCGCCGAAATCGCAATAATACTGGACGTAGCGACTTGAGACGTGATACGACACGCGCGAAGTCTGCCTGAGATTGTACAAGAAAGCCGTCGACTGCGATCAAATCATCGCCAATCGATATCATACCACAGGCTTCGGCAGGTCCCATCATTGTTTCCTCTGGACGGCGAAAGCTCGTCACCGTCACAGAACCTAAGCGGACACTCATATTCATACACAGTCCAATCGATCCCTTTTGAAGCAGGACCTCATACTCATCACCAGGAAACGGATTTTTCCAACCGTGCGCTCTCGTCTGTTCTGCACCCACTGATGCGCGTAGTATGTCTACAGCAAGGGCACCAGCCTGAGCCGGGGTGGACGTATTTTTCGCGTATGAGCCCAGCCGACTCAGTCTTGCACGATCCAGTGCATATGAGTTTTTATCTAAACGCTGGGGCACAAGTGACTTGGCAGCAAACGCGGCAGGATTTAGGCCTGGATCACCGCTCCCTTGGCGCTTCACGTAACGTAAATAATACAACACAGGTTATCACTATCACCACGATCTTCCAACGAAACTATCAAACGTCACACTTACGTTTTGCCTGGTAATTGGACTTTTTGACGTCGGGGTTTCTTGAACGGCAGGCGTATTCCAACTCAAATTGCTCGGCGTACTTGTGGTCGAAGCTCCTGATTGTCCTTCCTCCATCTGTGCAGATCCGACCGGCGGGCCGTCCAGTGGTGCAGTGTAAAACGACGGCGCGTTGGTCTGGTGGCAAAACATCTGAGACTGCGATATCGCGTCGCTACCCGCAGAACTGGTGCGAATACTGGTAGCGTCGTTTTGCACGTCAGAAAAAGAGGCGTTGTTTGCACTGTTTGGCGCCGCACTGTGGCTGTTAGCTATATCACGCTCATGCGGCTGCATTGCACGTGGATCGCCACCAAGCGGCCGAATAGGCGTCGGAGACGGAGCCAGAAAGGTCGATGAAGCAAACGGAAAGTGCATCCCGCGACTGCCAGTCGGCTGTGGCTGCGTCTGTGTATCGACACTCAGTGGCACGTCGTCAGTACGCCGCTGGTCTCCTGCCAGTTGCTGCATTGCAGACGCTACTCCATATTCCATCTGCTCGTTACTAGAGACCCCACCCATCGACGCTTCATGTTTAGGAGTCAGCCGCTCCTCGCTCGAGTGCGTTTCGTCCTTTAGCTTCTGGTCCCCTCCAACCTTCTGCACCGGGCTCATCCTTTTTGTCGATTCCACTGCTTTCTCCACACCTTGTACTTCCTCACGCCTGTCATTTGACTCTACAGCGGCGTCAGCATCAGCTTTACAGTCGTCCGTCTCTGCCTTTGCTGCTGTCACCACGTCCGCTCCATCCACACGCGGACCCGACCCAAATCCAGTCTCTTCAGTCGAATCCTCTACTTCCTCCTCCGCCTCCTTCTCGTCTGCATCCCCAGCTTCCGCCGCCTCTTCTGTCCTCGTCCCCATCGCTTCGTCCCCTTCTTGTCCACTTTCCATCTCGCCTCCTTCCTTCTCTTGGACCTCACAACTCTCTGTAGTAGGCACAACCATATTATGCTCTTCCGTAGGTTTCTCGGCACTCGACGGCGCTCCAGAGCTCGTCCCGACCAGCACCGACTCCTCTTCTTCCTCGTCTCTCTCTTCCTCCTCCTGACGTGGCGCAGGCTTCACGACGTCCATCCAGATCGCAGCGCAAGGATCACGTGATCAACGAGGACTTCTACGGCTTGTGACACGCCCTGACGCTCGCTCGTACGTGGTGGAAGGACACGCGCAGGATCTGGAGAGTGAGTGCGCTCCTTTCCTTTCGCTTCTTCCGCTTCTCCGCATTGAGCGCGGCGGAGCGCAGGGCAGATAAAACCTCTTGGTGTTTGTATGATCGACGACCCGATGGAAAAAAAACCTCGCGTCAAATCGAAGTGGGGCAATTGAGTGAACGAGCTCTGTCCGGTGCAAACGATCCTAACCAAAGTCAACCTTGTCGGTCATGACGCGCATGGCGAAAACAGATGCTCTGTCTCGAATAGCTACAGTCATTTAGAGATGCATGCGTACTTGACGAATGTATGAATGTCATGTCTAGCGTAGCGTATGATTCAGGGTGTGTGGAAGTAGATGACCGGACATTGATCGGTCTGGTGCGGTGTCAAGCGAATGCGACAGGACCTCGTAGGCAAGTGGAGCCCCCTTTCTACTCCGACCCTCTCCGTCAAATGTGCATGTATGCAGCGTTGTAGCCATCAAATCGCACCACTTCAGCTGCGAAACGCCTGGGTTACGTGCAGGATGGGAAGGGGCACACGTCATATCAATCCTCGATCTGTCTCGGTGCATCGATAGCCTGTTTGACACGTTGACGACGTCTGGCGTGACGAACGAACGAACGTACGACATATGTATTCGTCTACGGTGAGTGGCACCTGCTGTTAGCAGAGAACAGAGAGCGGAGTAATCTGGCGATGGACAGAAGTTCCGCATTTGAGGAATGAGGAGTCTGCGTACCACCATGATGTGGCTACGAACGAACGAGACGGTTTACCGGAAAGTCGTCATCACGTGTTGTGGAAGCAATGGAGGTTGGTTTCCACGCGCTGGATCGCTCAAAGCATATTGGTTTGACACATTTTATGTACGGAACGAGATCCATGTAAGTCTTTCCACTCCTGACGAGAATCGGCGTTGCTGGCCATCCTTGCATTTTCAAAGAACGCCCCGGTAACGCGCTGGGAGATGTTACTCTCGGTAATCTTGGAATGTGCCTGAGCTGTATGCCTTTTGTTTTGGTCTCGCACGGCGCTTCCGCTTATTTTGAATGCATCATCATCGAGTGTTGACGCTATAAACTGTCGTTCACGACAGTGATCGTGAAGACGGTGTCATTGCTGCGTGTGCACATCCTGGTATCAATTCCAAATCACATTGTATCCGGCTCATCGTTTGTCTTGTCGACTAAACAGTAGTACCTAATGGCATTTAACATGTTCGAGTGGCGCTTTACGGAAGTCTGTCGAATATGTTTGCTACTAGTAAGGCTGCATCTGGCTCAGAACGAACGTCTGCAGGTAATTTGCATTCTTTTGTTGCGTTCGTCGAGGCCAAATGGTTCATTGGCTTGCTCGTAACTAGATCAGCTTTGTCGACATGCGCAATACGTTGGCTTGCTGTACAGCTTGGGAGTGCGCGATAAAAGGGCGAGCATTGACCGCTATCGTCGCACGAATCTTTACAAGATTTGCACTCGCGATCAGCGGTCGACAGCTGCATCACGACGATAGAGAAGCGAGTTGATGCAGGCAGACTCGTAGCTATAGAATGCGTGGGTACCCACGACTCCTCACACCAACTCTTGTTTTCTGCATTCTAGCCTATACTTTTTTGAGCGGCTTTTCATGCCGACGACGGATACGGTGCTGCGACTCAGGCGAACATCCGATGGACAACTAGCGCTTCAATTTCCTTGCGGGCGATTTCTTAAGGTAAAGGTGTGCGGACTTCGTGTCAGACATTGTCGTGAAACTTCCATCTTTTTCTCTTACTGTCGCTGATGTGAACGTCTGTTCGTTGTTTCGTCAGTAGCATCAAGCCTTACCACGTGGAAATTGCATTGCAATTGCTGCGCGGTCGATGCTTTCTTCGTGCAGACCCTGAAGGTCGTTTGCTGTCCCATCATTCTCGCAAATAAAAATAGTAGACTTTACTGCAACTACCGTAGTCACCGCGCTGCACCTGCACCACAATGAAAAGGAGAGACCGAGTTTCTGGCTTGGAATAGCGTACTCTGGCTCATCACTTGAACTCGTTCATGTACGGATGCGGCACATGTTGTGGAAAAAGAACGTGCAAGTCGCTCGTCCCTTCTTCACATTTGAGGTCATTGTGGCAAAAGTAATATGGACCCAACGAGCTCCTTATGTTTGAGGATCGTACGACTTTTCACGTGCAAAAGACTCACCAGATTTGTTGTTGACAACTACAAAAGCGGTGATGAACGTGGTCGTCTTGTCTCCTTCTTTGTAGCTTGAGAAGAGTCGCTGGATCTATAGACGTACCAATCTGCATCTTTTGAGCGCTGCATAGCCGCTTCGGATCGCACACAGTGCTCATGCTTGTCTTCTGCTGATGAAATTGTCAGTCATGTTTGCTTGTCGAGTTTCCTTGTGCTTCTTAATGCATGCTCGTAGATTTTCGCTCACATGCCGATTAAAGTACAGCTTGAAGGTCAGTAGTTTGATCACCTTGACATAATACATTTGAACTCGCACACGGCTGAACGATAGAAAACGGTACTTGTTATCTGGAATAGCGCCTCGTGCTATCTATGACACACAACCTACGCTTTCGAAGAGACGCCATCCTTGTACTGAGGCTTCAGCTCGTAGCAGCTCTTGTTGGGGCCCTTGCGGTGGTAGATGCAAATTTCCTTGAGTACCTCTTTCAGGAAGGACTGCCGTACAAAAACAGACAGAGCAGAATGCATCAGTTTGCAACATCAAAACATGGTAGGGCCCACCAAGGCAGATATGGTGTACCTCAGGCTGGCGGCAGTGGAAATTGAGCTCCTTGAGTGGCCAGTACTCGCGCTCCTCGAAGTGGTGGAACACGAGATTCTTAAGCTCGTCCTGCGTTGACCACAAAAACATGGATAAGAATCACAACACATTGCAATGATCCACTGGCTTGATCGGACCTTGCTCATCTTAATCTTTTTGTCCAACTTGTCCTGTAGCTTTGCATCGGCGTCATCCTTTAATCAAAACATCAAAGCACAACAGTGAGCAACTAAAGCACAAACGCTGCGTGAACCCACGAAACTCACCTCATCGGCGTCAGGATCTGGCTTCTCAATCGTAAACTGGATTCGAGCCTTCTTCACGCGCGGCAAATCTTCTAGCGGCTGCACAATTCTGTAACAAACACAGAACATGCGTCACATATAGCAGTGTATAGCCTCTCAACATGGCAGTCGGCTCGTACCTCGTCTTGACCATCGACTTAATCAGTCGTTGCTTGCACATCTTGCTGTACTGGTCGTTACGCTGGGCCATGATGGTACAGCTATTCTTTACTGTGCCTTCGATAGCCATTCGACCAGAGCCGTCCAGTGAAAACACCTTGAGCTTCAGCGGAGTCTCACTGATCTCCACACGATACTCGGTCGGGATATCCGTCTCCAGTGCGCTCGGATTTATTGTCAGCATTCCCTGGACATTGTGTACGAACAATAAGCACCACAACAAGAAACAGAACGATCGCCTTTGAGCCCCGTACCTTGCGACGACCGAGGACGCTTTTCTTCTCCAGTTTGATGGACCCCAACATGAGCTCACTCTCTGCCCCGTCCAAAACAATTAACAAAATAGGTCAGTATCGTAATGATCATTTAAACTGACACTATTGTATCATACCTTGTACATTTTTCCACGATGCTCCGAGCGCCGTCTATTTAGAAGTACCATTATCATGGAACAACAATATAAAGAGTCATTAAGAGCTGCCAAATGTGGCAAAACGAAACAAGCACAGAAGCAAGGATTCAAATGCAAGCCAACGCTTACTGGGATCTTGGCCAGATACACCTCGCGGTCCTCCAGCTCCAGGTGCAATGGCTCCACCACTTCTTCCGACTCGGGCATTTTAGGTTTTGTCAACCTAATGTGAACAGAAGTGCCTTAATTTAAGAAATACCTTCGAAACCATATCGTCGATGTTTTAAGCCTACCAATTACCTTTACCATTTCATGCCAAGTAAATCCGACATGTCGGTGCTGCTGCTCAAGGCAGCGGACGAAGAGTATCGACGTGCTCTGGAGCAATGTGCCAGCTCCAATGAGTCCCGACAGGGATTGTTGAAAGCGTATTTTGCTCAAGTATTGACCTTTGAGTACGTCAATACACCGCAGCTTGTTGACATTTTGACCCACTTGGATCGCTACAGTGGCATTTTAGTCACAAGTCCTCGCAGTGCGATCGCTGTAACAAACGCCGTCAATGGACTGAACGCCGAGCAGAAGCAGCTTGTGCTGAAGCATCTAGACTCGACTCCTGTACTTTCTGTTGGCAATTCCACGTCAAGAGAGCTGCTGCCTATTGGAGTGGTCTGCAAAGGCGACGACGCCGGTTCAGCAGCTAAGCTGGCCGAGTATTTGCACCAGGATGGCGCTCTTCCAGCCGCTTGTAAAGAGAGACCGATGGTTTTTCTATGCGGGAACAAACGCCGTGATGCTCTGCCCGATAGTTTTCGATCGCGAGGTCTTCCGCTTCAAGAGTTAGTCGTGTACCAGACTTGTGCCGTGTCGAACGTCGAGTTCCCGGTCGAGTGCCGAGTGCCACAATGGCTAGTGTTCTTTAGTCCAAGTGGACTGGAAGGGGTAAAACACTTGCCTCTGCCTTGGGAATCGATTCGCAAGGCGGCGATTGGTAAGAAGCAAAGACCTGGTCGTGCTTGAAAGCCCTGACATGTCGGTAACGCTTGCTGCAATGTTATGAACCAGGCAAGACAACTGCCGCTGCCCTGCACGAGTATGCCGTGGCGACTCAGCAGCCGTTCTGGGAAGCAGACGTGACGGCGCCTAAGCCTACGCCTGAGTCGCTTGCAAATGCTATTCGCACCTTCGAATGCGAGCACAAGTCGTGAGAAGTATGCTGGAAGCACTGGTATGAGCGTAAATGACATGGACAAACAGCAACACCGTTATGCAGCATTATCGTCTTTTGAATCAGCTGTGAGTAGTTTCTAGTTTTGTGTCCCAGTGTAAATCCCTTCCTCTTACTGCACACGATAACTACATCTCAGCGGCAACGATTTACTCTTCTTCCTCCGATTTGCACGCCTGCAGGGCAAGTTTTAGAGCCTAAAACACAGGACAGTATCCAGACCGTACACAATTACAACAGATGGATCAAATTTAGCTGCAATTGTTACAAACAACATACCACAGCGCCCTCCTTTCGCGCGTTCCAGTCAGCGATTGGACCCGTAATGGCCTGCATCGTTGCCAAGACGATGCCACTTGTAAGCAGGTAGCGCGCGATTCCGTTCATTGGAGACGATTTTGTGCTTTTGGGGCTGTCGAATGGCTCAGATACCGTTGTGTATACCGGTATAGACGATGAAATCAAGGGCGTGCCAGATTTGGTGCAGGTATTTTTCGAAAAATTATGGGAGCTGTTAATCTCCTCTCACTGTACTGGTAAATATCCTCAATTTTATATAATGCTACACGATCAGCTAATTACAAGTCGAGAACTGAGGTACCAAAATCACATCAATGGCGTTTCAAAATTTATTTGCCGTAATCACATACAATTAAGCTTCTTTTGCACAAATATGTCGTGAGTTGGACGTCATTGTCGGCGGCCTTCCAGCCACAGTAAGCGACGCCCTAAATCCAATAGATGTGAGTAAGTCAGTGAGTCAGCGTAAATTCATCTTACCGAACCGAAACAAGAAACGGTCAGCATCAATGATGCAATCAACAAGTAAAACTTGTGGAGATGATGCGGCCGTTAAAATGGGGGTTTTCCGTTTCTGAAACGAGCGCATAAAATTCGAATATTACTATTTTGATGATATTCAAATAATATCACTGAGAAGAGGTGATGATGACAGAATATTGCCTTCGAAGGTAATATTCCGGGGTGCTCCACTTTTGGTTGAAGTAGATACCACTTCAACCAAATTTACCACCAACTGCTGCTGGACGCGCGCAATAGGTGGTGATCAAGAAACCGATACAGGAAGTTTCAGTTTGATTTAGTTAGAGTGAGTCAGTGACGATTTACAAAAAGAAACATAACCATATCAAATACTGTTTTACTTTTTCTTAATCGGAGCTTCCGAGCTCTGTTTACTTCGCTGCGCTTCCTCACGCCACGTGTACGTAACGTCGGGATCACGCCACCTTGTGTTTAGTCAACATAAGGGCGTGCCCCGTTACAGCCGTGGCATTAGGGTGGGTCACTGTGCACGACAATGTGGAAGTCTAATTGAACAACACCAACACCTATCAAGTTCAACAAATCCGTTTAATAGCTCAAATTTACTTTAACTGCAATCTTCAGTACGAGTCTATAAACTTAGCAAACACTATCACTTGTGCATTACTGAAACAGACGCTTATTTGCACGAGCATGCAGTTTTCTCGGCTTCAATGGTAGCACCAATAACTGGAGTATTATTGTGTTGTATCTCACTTGTTGCGGTGTATAAAGGTCTTGGTAATAACAGGGGCGTCCGCATGCGCGCTTGTATAAACCTTCCTGTGCACGACTATATTTGCTTCCTTCTTGCATGCTGTTTTGCGGACCTACATTGCACATCATCAAATCCGGATTATCATAGAAAAAAAGAAATTATTCCGTAACTAGCAGGACAAATAATTATAATGCGCGTCGCGTGCACGCGACACGAATGATATGAATGCGCAATAATAAATAGCTAGAAATAGAGCAGTAGCGTTGCTAACCACTAGCGCGGAAACCTTCGCATGAAAGCTAGATGGAGATTGCTTGCTGTTGTGAAGACGTCTAACCTTAAAGTAAAAAAAATTGTTTGAGAGCATCTGCGGACGTGTAAGATTCGAGTCCGCAAAGGTTTCAGGCAAAGCTTGACAAAAACTTTTGCTAAAGAATACAAAAGAACAATTGCGAATCATACCAAATTAGCTCCAGTAGTTGTTTAAAATTTGGTCATTGTGAGATACTACCCTCAAAGCATGCATATGAATCAGCCATCATGTAGCGTGTTACGGAACTGAGGGGTTTTACTAATAAATTAAGGGAATTGACTGTTTTCCTTGTTTATGTAGCCGGATTTAGCCAGGTGAAGTGTTTAAAATATGCATACTCTTTTGTACACTAAGAGCAATTTTTTACGGAAATGGATGTTTTCACATCCAGTTTTGACTACCTTACAATCTCGTTACGGTAGCCCTAAATTCAGGCCTCGTAAATTTATATGTTCGCTATTGATAGCTGACGATACCCACATTTCTACTTCGAGGTGAATCACGAAATAAGGATATTCGCATTGGAATGCATGCAGCCAACTAGCGAAATATAGGAAGGCACGCAACATTTACAGACGCTCCAGCCGACCTGCAAGCTTCTAATGCGACTCACACCCATTTCATCGTCTGTGAGAAAGCCCACGCCTTTTCAGTTTGATCATGCGTTACATTTGGAATTTAGATTAAGTCCAAAGACGACAAAGGCAGTGCGACCTGCTGGTGTCTGCTATGCGTGCATGAGGGTCGCGACGAGGTTGAGGTCGGCCAGAACGGTTGTAAGCGCAAGAGGTCTGGCAACATTTAAATGTATACTGCGATGTTCTACCTGCACAAGTACAGCAGTAAACTATCTTAGCACACCAACTTGTGGGCGCTCTACAAAAAGATGTCGAACGCTGAAAAAGCGCTGTATTTTGCCAGCAAGATAAAGCCGTCGAATTCGCTGCCTCGTCAGATCGCGCTCAAAGACGACACGCCAACATATAATACAGGGCTCGCATCTTCAAAACCATTACTAGCGACTAGTTCTTTCGCGGCGACGGGATGCTTGCCAATTCCGCCGTCGACGACGATAGTGAAGACGGTGTGGTCAACACGCTCGCCAAGAAGGTCAAGGAGAAGCTAAACTTTCTGGAGCTGTTTGTCAAGAAGGAGAGCGATTTTAATTAGTATTAATTAATCATCAAGAATATCATGCGGTTCAATAGGCGGTGTACCACGTTTCGGCTAGCTTGTCGTTTAGGCAGACCACTTCTGTAATTCAATACGCAGGGGCCCACAAAAAGCAGCAAAACTTGTTGACCAATCTGAACGACGAATAGTTGGCCATTACGTCCACTTCTGAGTTGGAGCCTCTCTGCAAGACATCTCAGACATGATGGGCTACATGTTCGTTTGGGCAATCTTGCTTGCCTCTAATCAAGCATGTACCGTGATAAGTCGTCCTTTGACATTCTCCATACAATTGTGCTACAAAGTTCGGCTTTGAAACATCCATTCGGTCGAGATCCGATGTATGATTGTCACAGATCGAGAACAATCTTCAACTTGCTCGTTGGGTTCCTGGACGCGCTCAACATAAACTGGCGCAGCAAGATGCTACAATTTTTTTCTCTGATGGCGAGCGCTCCATGACCGGGCAACGCTCCGGTCTTTTCATAGCATCAGCCAAGGCGCCTTTTATGGACTTGTAAAACTATTGCTGCAGCAGTCTTCACTAACTAGCGTATTTTGTATATTTTTTAGGATTCTACAAGATTGTGAGGTCTGCCTAAATGTTAACAAACGTACAGAAACGAAAGTTCAAATACACAAGCACGTTACGATTTGTGTGCTGGAGGAACTACATCCACTTTGTGTACATTGAAAATTACACACCAATCCTTATATCATACGCCTGCTTAGCTTGATGATGGTCACGCAGATGAAAATCAACCGCGATGGAACGAAGTATGCTGTTATCGACCATCATGGTTTACCATGCCATTACATTATTGGGGCATAGGCCTGCAATCCAGATGTGTTAAAGAAAATCAATTATGAGCCTCATAGTGTCATTAGCTCTGTTTCGCATCGCCATAAGTATGTAAGATCTGATAAACTGGATATGGATAGGAGCGATGAAGCACAACGTAGCCACTTAGCGTTCGACTTACCACTAGATGCGAGCGGCCATGGATTCCAAAAGAAGCTGGATGGATACGAATGATTGTGGGATGGACGTTTGCTTACAGTGATCAAAAACTCGTAGAATAGGAATATATAAGTCTGAAAGTCGTTGTATCTCCAAAACCCGTGATAGAAGGAACTCTGTAGCTCCGGCTAAAGCCTGGGGTCGGCTTGATTTCCCGAAGTTTGTCCAGGCAAGAAGCGGCAGGTGTAATGCAAGCGTATTTATACATACGATCGTACAAATACGCTTGCATTACACAAACAAGGCTTATAGAATGCTTATAGACGCAAAGGATGTTTACAGACGCAGTGACGTGCTTAAAATCGCTTTGACATCAAGTGATACTCACAAGCGCATCTCAAAGATCCTTCATCTATTTATAACCTCCAATGCTAACTCACGTCTGGTCCTGCACCATTTGGAGCGTGTGTGGATGCTCTTCAAACGCAGACCGTCATTGAAGTTGGACCTACCTTGACGAGTAAACCCACCGTCAACACCCATCGTTCCACCGAACGCGTTACTGACAGTTTGACTGCTGTCTATATATCATCCATACCAACGCACTTATTAATTATTTGCCCCCCCGCTGATCATACACATTTCTTTCACGAGTGACAATGTGTAGCTGATCACGAACAAGATTTAGCTTGCTCCGGCCTAATTGAAAACCAATAAAGGCTACAAGTGTCTTCACGTTCGTATTTACAAGGTCGCCCCCTATTCGACTGAATGTGATAGTTCTGGGATACAGAATACGTTGTGTTTAAACCTCTGCCTATAATACGTGACAATTTTCCTACAACACGCAATAGAAGTAGGACACATATGGATACCCCGATAATGAGTAGGCTGAATCCTAACACTCCGATAGGGGTCAATTTAACCTCTTTTCAAATACTTAGCTCAGTTGGATGATCACTTATTATATAGTTACCAAGCCGATTTTATAGTCAATAACAGAGAGGCTCAATTCTGTAGCGCACATTAATCCTTTGAACTAAATAAAATCGTCATTCTGCTAATTGACGACTCATATAATTTATTACATCATGAAAATGACGTAACTGAATATCGAATCACAATAAGTGAATCAACAAGTACTAAGGTGGTTGGTGTCGTCCAAAACGCTTATGTAAACCGCAACAGTTTTTTTAACAATATTGTAAAATTCTTCAATCAATCAAAAAATTAAAAACGCCCTGATATTTAAAAAATACTTATAAAATGAAAAATAAAATGCCCCCGATAGTGACATGATACTGAAAATGCACACGTCTAGTATACGCATCTTAACGTACTAAACATATACCGAGATTGTGTTTCGATGAAGGACTTAACCTTTTTCATTCATCGTTCACACGCAACATATTGATAACTTTGGCTTACTGAAGATCCTTAGTTTGATTAAGGTCACGCAGATATTCACTGCGACAGAGTGGACTTATGCGATTTTCGTGTATGAACGCTGCATTACGTCAATACTACGTCTCCCACTTTAGCTACGTTTGGGTGTTGAGAAATTCACGACCAGAATTAGATACGTAAGACTAGACGAATAAGTGATGCGCAACTAGACGATTAGTAATGTGCGATGTGGCAATCACGAACGTACGGGCTGAAAGAATACAGCAGGCTTAGAGTAATGTGGTGGTGTGGTGATCGCTCATTTGTTGAGACGATCCCGACTCTCCACTGGCGTCTAGACGACCGACTAATGTAGGGAATACTCCGATTTCGTGTATATCGCTTTCCTCACCTTATGCACCCGTCAGAAGGGCGAGTTTGCACTCTTTCTTGAGCTGGAATCGTGTCGAGGGAAACCCTACTCATGTTGGGGATGGGATTTGTGTGATCGGGCGACAATCTTCGCGCGATCACTGGGGTGTCGGTGTGGTTGCTGGTACGAAATACCTGATCTCATAACGAGATCGCCTTGCCCATTGTGCGAGTTCTTGATACGTGAGCCTTTTGACTACTTGAGCCGTCTAGCGATCTTGTGCCTTGTTTTTACGTGTCTCGCTGCGTCCGATCGCAGTTGTAGTTACTAGATGATTCTTGAACGCACCTGCCCAAACAATTCAGGTGCGACACATATATGAACGGGTAACGCGACTCTTCATCCTCGGTAGGCCAAAGCATCCTACCCGGAAGAGATTGCGTGCGTATTTTAAAGAAAATTGAGACCTCTTTGATGCTAACCAATCAGCCTAAAGCCTACCCCTCTGCCTTATCCGTATATCCTAACCGGATGCCACGCGTCCCTGTTTCGAGAAGATCGTCCTCTCGCAAAGGTGTGGCCTACATCAGGTGTACCGGCAGTCGAATCTTCTTGTGGTCCACCCGATTTATCACCACCATTTGACCTTGGATCGTGACTCCAGGCCCGGATCATGATTCTAGGTCTGGATCGTGATCCCTCACCTAGGACCACAAATATTCCCTTGCCTTATCTCACAATGGATCACGCAATCCAACTGGATCAACTGTCATCCAGCCTTGACCCAAGTGATTTCGATCGTGCTTACTGGGGTTAGGTGCGCTATTGTTATGCACCCGTCCCAGTTTGTCTTCACCAATCATAACACTATTGACCTAGCTGAGGTGTGCGATCCGGCCAGTCCCCCGCTGCAAATAATTCTGTAAATTATCTTGTGACCGCTTTGCTACAGTAACAACAAGAGTTTGTGAACTCAGGACTCTAATATATTCACTTGCATACTATATTCCAGTTCTCAGCCTAAGTCTTCATGTCTTCCTCCCATTTCCTTTAGAACAGCTCAGCAGTACATCAACAATTCCTCTAGGAGGAGCCGCCACACCACAATGATGGACGATGTCCGTGTGGCTCTTTGCGAACATCATGCCGATAATACAGCACTGACTCAGGTTCATCTTGTCAACCGGCTGCAGGACAGCCATCAGCTAAGATTCAGCCATGAAACAGTCTTTAACACGCTGAAGAGGAAGGCTGACCTTCTTTGGCTTCCGGAGGAAAGCAACATGAGTTCTTAACGTCAGTGTTTAGTCTAGTATCCGCTTAAGAAATCAGCTCTGATAGCTTGCTCCACTGCCCAATAGGATCGCTTCAATCTCAACGGAGACATTTTTTGTGAACATGCCGAGCGGACTTTGGGTGTCTTCATTCAGGTCATTAGCCATTTTAATTTTTAAACGAATGGCTGGAATCCTTTAAAACTCGCATGAAATTACGCACATGTCGCCGCTTCGAAGAGAGCGTGTCGGTGGACATGGTTGCTGTGGTAAATGCACTTTATTCCCAACGTGAGGTCCTCAATCATTACGAATGGACGGGTGTCTACAAAATGGATGAGACTGGCTTGTTTTGTCCAATACAAGTAAGCGCTCTGCAAAGGAAATCAAACTTATTGTCTTATATTGACTTATGCATCCCTTTTGTTTCAGCCTGGTAAATTATCGGTGACGCGGCAGATGGAGGGAAGGAAGCTAAACAAAGAACGGATTATTGCGGCTGTGTGCTGCAACGGTGATAGGTCCGACAAAATGCCCCTGTAGATCAATCATAAGTACGTTACTCCTCGCTGCTTCCGCCATGTCAATCTCTAAAACCTTGGCTATCAGTATAGCAGCAACAAAAAGGTCTAAATGACACAAATCATCTTCTTGCTGTGGCTGAGAGACCTCGATCGAAGTATGGCAAACCTCTGGGATTTGCTGCCACTGTCAAGCTGCATTGCACATGTCCCGATTGCTGATCTGCCGCAGTGGATCGCACTTGGCAACACGACAATCCACTACCTTTCGCCTAACCTGACATCAATACTCTAGCCTTGTGACCAGTAATTATACGAAACCCTAAAGTATACTACTGGTGCAGCTGAACCGTAAGTTCCTTCGGGATCAAGAAAAATTGTGTACTTCAGCAGGCAAAGATCAACATCCGGCATACTATCCAGATGTCAGTCTCAGCATGGGCTAACGATGTCCGCTTTAAGACTATCCACAACTGTTTCCG